ATAATTTCATATGTGGGAAACTTCGTCAGAAATTTCAGATAAATTTTAATCCGTGGGAAACTTCGTCAAAAATTTTAGACGGATTTAAATCCGTGGGAAATTCTGTCGAAAATTTCAGACGGATATAAATCCGTGGGAAATTTCCGACGGATTTTGGTCCGTGGGAAATAATCCGTGGGAAATTTGACTTTTTCTTGTAGTGTATAAAAATTAATCCATACCTTGATGCTAGCGAAAATGTAATATCCCGTTGGACTCTTGGTTGGATGGAGGACATTCTATACCAAGCCCAAGACTGTAGAAGCAAAGAACATCCACCCATTTTCTTTGAGGATGGATAGATTGCCCTACACAATTCTCTATACAAATGTGCCAAACAAGCAGAACCCCAACTATATCGTCCTGCACGTTCCAAGTCAGCAAATAATGGTAAATACATTAAGTGAATTCTATTACCTGACTTGTCTGACATAATGACACCACCGATCAACCCTAAGATATATGCTCGACAATGTTGAAGCAATTGTTGTTGAGTGGGTTCATCTGGTAGTGCAATTGTATGGTCTCTTAACCATTTGAGTTTTATGGTTGAGCCAACTAGAGCTTCCCCTTTTGGAGGTACGAAGCCTAACAACTCGTAACATAATTCATCCCAGTCAAACAAAGTTGGTCCTGTTACTGGTTTGCCGTCAATCCTTAAACCCAATTGTAGTGCCACATCTTCCAAAGTCACCGTGCACTCACCAACTGGGAAGTGAAAAGTATGTGTCTCAGGTCTCCACCTCTCCACCAAAGACGTTATCAAACAATCATCGATTTTAAAATGTCTTATTTTCGCAACCTCGGCAAAGCCAGCAACCTCCAACAAATTCTCAATTCTTGGGTCAGGTGTAGGCATGGAATGATAGTAAGATTGAATGACTTGATCACTTGTTGTCTACGAAAATGGTAGAATTGAAATGTTAGTAAAAGATAATATTAGTTGTAAACATTATGCAATGTATAATAACTTACCATAAGATGAGTTTCATTTGACCTATGGAGGTGTTGTTTCCACAACATAGTTGAAAGAACAATAGCAACGAAAATCAATACTGCAATAGCTGAAGAGAAATGATCTTTTGTTGTGTGTTTAGGGTTGGATCGTGTGTAGTGTATATATAGTGGAAAAAAATCAATGGCTGATGCATAGTCATCAATGCTTTGTCCTAGAGCGTCAGAAAAAGTAATTACTTTGTGCAGGGTGTCATTGATGCAGTGTGTCATTGATGCAGTGTGCCAGAGCGTCAGAAAAGTTATTACTTTGTGCAGAGGCATGAATGCTTTGTACCATAGCGTCATAAAAGTTATTGCTTTATGTAGGGTGTCATTGATGCAGTGTGTCATTGATGCAGTGCGCTAGAGCATCAGAAAAGTTATTGCTTTGTGCAGAGGCATGA